CAAAGTTATAGCCCTTTGGAAGTTTGAGTACCGCCCTGTCTCAATAACAATATTATGTGGTCGTGTTTGGCGACAATGGATATAATCCGCCGTATCGGTTCATCGCATCGGAAACAAAAAAGCGAAAGAATTTGGAACGATGTTTTTACAGGTATCTCATTCATTTGTATACAGTTAGTGTCAGTGAATAGTGGTATGTGTTGCGTGGCTCAAACGAAATATAAAATGGCACATGTTTATGCGGATCGGTTTCCCAATCGAGTGCAACCAACCCCTCGTGCCTTTGTTAATGTAGTACAACGGGCTTGTGAATCAGGTGACTTAAGACCTCACAGGGGACCTCACGATCAAATACAGGTCCGCACTGAAATACTTGTCGGGAGGATACTTTATAAAACAAGGTAAAATTTTTTTTTATTTTTTTTTTATTTTTACACACATATTTTGGTTTATCTTCCTTCTACAATCATTATCTGAAAATTAATGACTCAACTTCAAAGTCACCCTGTATACACGTAAATTGCAACATACAGAATTGTGAGGGACTTTCATATAAAGTATGAACATGCGAGACTTGTACAAGTAACGTCGGTCGTCGTCAAATTCTGCGCCAGCCAGTGCTATCTTTTCGATTGTTTGACTGTTATAATGGTCTCCTATAAAAAAATCTTAGCATGATACTAGCACTCGAACCCATTATTGTGAGGTCGAGCGGCTGAAACTGAACTTCATTCATATATCATAAGTGACATAGAAAAAACGATCAGCTTCTTAACCATATCGATACAGTGGTGCGCGCGCCTCACAGGTTGATAAACGCTGCTGTAGGGTGTTCGAGTAGATCATAGAAATGCTATCAAGCTGACGAGCCACTTCCGGTTATAGACAGAGTCAGAATAAGAAAGTTAACTTTCAAAAATTCGCTTGGAAATCTAGCTATGAAGCGGCAGACGCTTCACTCAAATTATTTTACTATTGGTATTAAAAACGTCAGCAAACCTCGAAACCATGAATACACTACTAAGGCCCAATTTCACCAACATTAATATTATGAACCAGTGGGAAAATACCTTATCGAAATGTAATTTGACAAAAGCTGTAAGCTATAAACAAGACCACTTTTTGATCCCAACATGATGCTTTTGTACAGAAAAAACAGGACAACTTTCATGTATTTTGATATATGTTATAGGTTTACATTTAACAATCCGTTATCCCCCTCAGCGAATGGGAATGCGGTAAATAATAGGTCGATTTTCTAGCTGTTAAATTTGGCAGCAGATTTGGACGTTTGTTAATGCATGGCACTCTCGAATTTACCAACTTCAATATACTGAAAGTTATCATTACATACCTGTTGAATAGTGTGTATTTGTCTGTATTTTGCAAGAAAATAGAATATAAAATACATTCCATCCAATTCCTCATCTTCCTTTACGTCATAATAGTAATCATTTATTAATTTATGGGTTAATGAATTTCTTCAAAGCAATAAAAACATTATGTCCTCTCTATCCTAAAACGCAGATAATATGTGTAGGACGTGTCAATCCCTACATCTCCCTGATGCATAATGCAATTACTATGGACATAGACAAAAAATTATAAAAAATGATTCACAAATAATGTCTTTTAAGTCCAAAAATCATAAAAACTAGTAATGTTTATTGTTTGTCTTTTTGATTTACGGGGATATCTATCTGTCACTCGCAGGGTTGCCAAGTCTAACGACAATCACGTCCGGTGGTGGAGGGTGCGAAATGAATCTCTTACATTTGCTGGTTTTGAATTTTTTTCGTGAAAATTTACTAGGAATCATGATTATAAGCATCTTTGGTAGATTGTTCGATCCGGAATGGGAAAGATCGCCTATTTATGAAAATATTTATGGTATCATCTAACCCTTGCAATCAGTGCACAAACACTGTGACATATGATTTATAGCATAACCCGCTACCCTATCAATATAAATTTCACATACAGTCGCCTAGCCGTGGGGATGAAGTGGTCGGGATGAATATCACGGCAGCAACTGATGATTTGGACATGTCTGGTAACAACGTATGAAGTGAAACTCGCTAACTTTACAAATTTGAAGATTTTGTACAATTCCTTTGAAAATGATGAAAGATATGTCTGATTTGGCAGGGTAATGTCGCAGCCAAATGGCAGTCACTCTTTCTGTCACAGTCCGGATCGTATCGAACATCCCTACTGTTAAGATGTATAACCCAAGGTACCGACGGAGCTATTTTGCGGCGTCGTGGAAATAATTTTGAATTTTCATTCGCATTTTTTCAAGTGTTGTGCAATGATATTGGGAAAAATGTCACGAATAGTCTTATAAAGCATAGTAGAGTATATTTCAACAGTTGGCGGAACTTACCCCACTGGGACCAGGAGGGTGAAACGGGATATTAATGCACAATCTGGCAACCCTGTGGCACCCTCACAAAATGGCCGCTGACAACCACACAAGTCACCGTGTTGTCATTGAATAGCATGGAATTAAACCTTCAGAGTATATGTTTTGTGACTGGTACCAAGAGTTGACAGATCCCACTTATGTGTCACTCCTTGAAATGCAATAATCAGCTGTATGCAAATAATGTCTAATATAAATATAACCTAGAATGAGTACTCGTGAAAAAAGAAAAATATGGCAAATTTGTAGTTTTTTTGCAGGTTTTAGGTTTGCTGGTAGCTTTAAGGCATATATTTGGGAATTTCTTAATCGCTGTGAATATAGTGTGGATGTTTGTTCAGTTCCTGAACAACGAAAAATATTCAACTTTATGGATGTATGGATATCAAAAAACCTGAATGGTTTTCTGGAAATATGAATCTAAGGTACCATAATGGTTCTGATGAACGGCAAGTAAATGGATGAATATTTGGAAACGAGCAATATCTTTTGGTAGAGCCTGTCATCAAGTAAGTGCTTAATGGCTATCTGCAAGAGGTTTATAGGAAAAAACATCCAGTATCGTATATCAATTGAAGAAAATAATATAAACATGAATAAAAAATCAACAATAGTAATTAAAACATGAATTTTATTCAAAAATCCAACATTTCTCTGAATTTTGACTGAATTATATGTAATTTCTTAATATTCAATAAGCTGGTGATGTTTCAATGACAAGCTGTCATCTCATACTTTGACAGTATTTTGTTTTCAACGTTTCATAGCTATTGGTTTCTAAAATTTGTTGATTGGAACTTGAAGCTCATCGTTGTATTTGACGGTCTGTTACCCTATATGTGGAGAATAACGGACTGTTGTTGGTGAAATTGGCCCTTAGACTTGAAAATCTTGCGATTACATAAGAAGTAACCCCTACATCTAGTAGTAGAAATTAATATGACCTGAACGGTTATTTTTCAAAATCTATCGTAAGCGTCTTTCACATCAGCTCAATATTCTGTTCTTCTCTGCTGAAAATCAATTTTGAAGTTTCACGGCAAACGGCGAACGGCGTGATTTATTACCCTAGGGCTACTTATAACCTACTTTTCAACTTCCAACTAGAAATAAAGCATTGATTTTATACCCGTTTTTGCTCTTTTGTTCCTCCTTGTCGCTCAACTAGACATCGGTCGAGATAGAATTGAATTTTGCTTATTCTCTGATACCCCAAGAGCAATTATTGTATAGATTTCAGTAAATAGGTCTTTATAGAATGGAGTGACTGCCTGTTCAGATCATTTGCATTTAAGCCTGTGTTCTTAGGGTAAGTTTTCTGAATTTAGTGGTATTTTCAGATCAACGTTGTTAGGTATACTACTATATACTGAGTGTCCCAACCGTTCGAGGATGTGGTATTACTCCTAAACAAAAAGTTTTGTGAAGAAAATTGCTTATGGATCATTATATATAGTATCGAGAGATATATTAGCAAAATATTCACATTTATACAGCGTGTCCCAATTTTAACCCACGTATCACAGTTGAGTTTTCTTAGAAGGAAGGCCCTACTTTTTATTACACATTAGGAAAGGATAAACTTCGATTGTATGTTCAACATCATGAGGGGGACATTTTTCAACATTTTCTGTAGTATTACAAATGGTTTAAAATTTAGTTATATTTACTTATAAGTGTCATTTTCAGACATGTCAAAAAATCTATTTTATATTATAATATCAATCTATAATAATGAATTGCAACACAAAATCATTGAATCACTTGGTTTCTTGATAGAAGTCTGATATGGATACATTGTCAATAAGCATTTACTTGTTTTGTGTTTCTATGGATGATGTTACTTGTTTGAATAGAGAAATATCCAATACTTTGAAACAAGGCACACACATATATAAAATGTTCACTACTACCCTATCCTCGTAAGCATTTTTTTAAGATTCTCAGTTTGTTATAGACGGAGGATGGTTGCTTCACAGCCTCGTTTGGCCTCATAGTAAGACATACCGTGCAATCTTTGATATGTACACGAACTTTCTTGTTAAGCGGTTTGGTCGGAGCGTCATTATTGTTTTCGGCGGATATGAATATGAACATATAGCTGTCAAATCATACGAGCCAGACCGTAGATAACAAAGAAATTGTGGCGTGGACGTTGAAATTGAACCAGACAATCTCCTCTCATTGAACCAAAGGAAATGTTTGTCAAACGTGAAAAACAAGGCTCAATTTGTTTATCATCTTGGTCAAACTCTTGCAACAGATGAGGGATTCAGTTTTACAGTGATCCATGCGAAAGAGGATGCGGATGTTGAGATTGTGAGAACAGGTCTGAAGACTCATAACGAACTGTTTCGTCACAGGAAATCACGAGTTATAGTCCTCGGCTCGCATGTTAATCTCTTAATATTACTTATTGGACTCACTCCAGCCTCAGAGAGCATGTACTATTACAAGATGGGCCAGGAGGGCAAAGCTTGTAAGATGCACGGGATCACAAACATTTGCAACCATAACTACTTTTCGCTCATGCGTTTGCGGGCTGCGACACTACCAGCTGCTTTTTTGGGAAAGCGAAGATGAAACTGATGAACTTGGTGCTGCAGAACGACAGCATTATAATGCTGGCGCTGAAGTTTTACAAGCCGGACTGCTTGGAAGACGAATTGCTGCAATGTGCAGAGACTATTACTCTTGCACTATACAAAGACAAAGAACAGTCTTCTTCTCTCGGGACTTTCAGATACAATTTGTTAGCAAAGGCAAAAAAGGAAACGCCCCTAGAATGTCTCCCACCAACATCTCCTGCCTTGCTTCAGCAGTGTAAACGAGTCTACTATCAAATCCAGATGTGGCTTCAACACAGATTGGATCCCTGCTTGTGGGGATGGACAAGAGTAATATTCTCATTCCGATCATGTCTGAAGCAGATCCCGCACCAAAAGGACTGTTACAAGAGGTATGTGTGAAATGTACCTAATTTGAAGCACTAAATACAACTTGCTACAACTAATTTTTTACTATACTTTTGATCTCATGTACTGTCTGATCGAAACTAAAATAATTTTTGAAAAATGTGAGATCCAGTTTCAAGTCAAAATAACAAATTTTTAAACTGATCTATTGAGTACTATAAAAAGCCTGTCATTGATTTCCCTTACAAGACAACTGATATTTAGATTATAATAATTCTTATAATAACCTTCTTTCAGGTTTCCTGTGGATGCCAAGGGCCCTGCAAATCGAAGCGATGCAACTGCCGAAAAGCCGGTCTAAGGTGCTTGCAAAGTATGCCGCGGAAAATCGTGCAACAACTCAAAAAAATGGACTGCTACAGAACACTGTGACAGCGAAACTCCGACGACTTCAGATGCATGTGAGGAGGACGGTGGACAAACTACCGTAGAACCCGATAATGATGACTTAACAGAAGATGATGAGACCTTATGTAATACAAACATATTTGAACACAAATATAATTTGTTATACTCTCTCAAAATAGAGAATATAAAAAATTGATGCAACTTCCAATGAATGGTTTGTACATAATTTCTTATCTCGATTGAAATATAAGCGAATAATCTTTAATTTCAACTCTAAAATATACATGCTCATACTTATAGTCGTTCCATTATCAATATGTAATTGGAAACGTAAAAAATCCCTGAACCCCACAAAAAAGGTGTGAAGTGCTATGCAGATAAGTTGCACAGCAGAGCATACTGCCGTGTCTACATGTCAAGCTAACGTTCACCGATACATTGAGACTAGGACTAGACCAATCAACATTATTATTGGTTTCCTCAGCGAGTGTGCAAAGAAGACATCGTCAAATGCTCATCACCATCGGCCTTTGTCTATTCTTTACATATTTGCGTTGGCGTAGGTCGGTCCAACGTATAGACGCGGCTTAAGAACTGCTAAATCTCTTATCATGGTCGTAGATTTTCAACTACCGGTGATCAAACTGATTTGTGAGGATAATTATGAAAATAACGTAGAGCTTCGAAAACGAGTCTTTTGATGACTCATTGGGCTTCTACATCCTGTAATGTATTCTTATCATTGCCACTCATTTATATACACGTTCACACCTATTTGCAGCTGTAGATTTTTTTATCGTTATTCCAATTCTAAATGAAAATATTATACCTCACTTATCCAGCCAATCGGTAAGCGGCTGAAGAGAAATTACTGCATCTTGTACTCTTAAACGCATAAATTTCAAAAATTCATTAATATGCATAAGTCGGTGAACGCCACAACTACAAACGAGCTTATTATTCAAAATGGACTGGCCTATCACCGAGAGTGAGACACTGAGGACGTCGAAATAAAAGAGGATCGTCCCCTTCAACGGGCGGCGGCTGGTGATATGTGTACGCACGTCCTCGCCCACAAGCCATCAGCAAGCTGTAGCGCGAAAACTACACCTTTTTTGATGGCCCAAAAATTAGAAAAATTTAAGTGTAAGAAAAGAGGTTTTTTGGGGGTTTTCGCTGTTTTACAGAAAACGGCTGGTTTCCGGAAAACCAAATTCATACAACAATCTTCGCAATCCTTTATAACGCCATTACGCCAGCGGACATAACTTTGTGGCTATGTTATCACTGTTGTCTCAGTTTCGGCTATTTAACTGGACTATCATCGTGCAACATAGCCTTAGATTGGCGGTCAGACAGCGGTATTAAGGGGATGATGCGTGCGATCCAATTATGCGTTGTTGCGCAGGTTGATGCGTTGTTGCAAAAAATCATGCATAACGCGACTTGTTATTGTAGTCCACTTGAAAAACTGGTACGTAAAATTAGATAATGCTAGTCGAATAGTCGACGTTACTAGATACATCTACCACCTAAAAATGCATATTGATTGAGATTTATAAAAATACGTTTATAAGTATTTGGTATTGTTTTCGATTGCGTTTCCAAAATTCAAATTTATTATTTGAAGCCATTTTATTAATTTTCTTATCCATATGTTCCATTAACAACGAACTGGGAGTGTGAGTTTATAAATCCGCTTTCGGTCGTATACGTTTGATATCTACGTATGATGTATTTGAAATATTTCAGATAGTTCCTACAAAACATGCAACACGATATTAAAAAATATTTCAAAAGACCATTGAATTCCGAGTTACTGGCTGATAAGCCTAAATCGAAGAAGAGGAAATCTCCGAATGTAGAGAGTATAGAGAGTAACATGGGTCGAAAAATGTCAATGTTGCTGCAGGAGCGTCTAGTGAAATATTGGCGGTGTAATGTTCAAAAACAGATAATACCGAAAATTTCTTATTTCGCTTCGACATTTTTCTTGAACTACTCATATTCTTCAAAACCCCAACTGTGAGGTAATTAATTTTATGAGGTCATCACTTGTTATATTGGAGCAGGTATGAAAAATGTGTGAATCCAGAAGTACTATTGTTGGATATACTTATGGGAAGATGCCTTCTGTCCGACACCTCAAAGTTAAGAATTGTCTGTAAAAGAGCGCTCCGTCGCTGAGGTTGTTGGCACACAAAAAGCTGTCCGATAGGCCACAAAGAACATATTTACAAAAGCTCAACCGTCAGGTAATCCCCGAGGCCCAAGTATTTTACAAACTCTTTTTACTATTTAAAATGCCCACGTATAAAATTTGTTGACTGGGCCTGCAATTCAGATCTACCATTTTTGCAGTAGATTTACCGTTTCTGAGCCTTCGCCTCCGTTCTACTGCAAAACGATCAATTACTACCGTTTCTTAAAATAAAAAAGAGCATATTGCTATATTTTCGGGAGGCGGAATCGGCGGAACGTGTGAATATTTTAACTTTTGTTCAGAGATAGAATGCTCACTAATAATGGTATCTTTAATCGCCGCCACACTCATTACTAGGCTCAAGAAAGTTGCTGGTTAAAAAAGTATCGAGACGTCAAGACCGTTTTGTGTTTAATATGTGATGTGGAATTCTAGGGATCAAAATACCTGTATGAGGTCTATTTATTTACCGCAACTCATTAACTGCAGAACGGTATCTTCAATTCGTGCAGATCTAGAAGACTGCCTGGATAATTTACCTTTGGCACGTGTTCATAGCTGTTGGTTTTAACAAGAAGGTGCTCCTGTGATAACTCTAGACAAGTTCGTGAGAATCTTACTCAGCGATTTCCCGGACGCTGGATTGGAACCTCCAGTAAAGTGTCCTAGCCACCGCTTTCCTTATTCTATTTCATAGTATGTTGCCATTATGCAATATGTAATATGCATCTTTCAGTAATCATATAAGCTTACATCATGCATTTTCTTGCTACATCTACTAAACAAAAAAAGAAAACACGTTTTTCTTTATAACTTAGAAAAGAAATGTAACATGAGACACATCGTTGAATTCTTAGAAGATGTTATCAGGTATTTTTTTTCGGACCACATAAAAAATTAAGTTAATGATGGTTTCTCAAAAACGAAAACGTCGGACACAAAAGTTGAATTAGTTTGTTTATATTACTTGAAATAAGGTCAACAAAAACAAATTGGCCAAATTTTTGTTTTTCCCTAATACCTCAGTAAACCATAAAATTTTCACATGTCTTAACGGCATGTAAATACGGTCCAAAGAATGCAGCTTTTTTCTAAATTAACCCAAACTGTACCTCTCACAGGTATTGAGGTCCCCATTCATTAACTTGGACACCCTATGTAAAGAAAACTCCCAACTTTGAGGTCACTAGTAACTTAATAACGCTATATTTTTAAATAGGAGCTTACGCTCCATTTTATTCTATATCCATAGTAAAAATCATTTACAGGAAACCATGACAATCATACTAGCGATTGTCGGTAACGTGGAACAGAGAAATATTAATTATTATACAATATACTATAGATATAATTGGAAAAAATATCATACAGTTATTTAGTTATCTAGAGTCTAGAGTCCTCAGAATCTTCTTCAAATGTCTATTTTCTATCATTGCTGCAGATTTGCTTCAATAATTTATAACTTTGATAAAACAACAATAATAGCAGTTGAAGGCGAACGACTCGAACAGACCTGCACGTGTATTACGTATCTTTAAAAGTGGCATGTCGATTTTTTTCACATTATATTGGGTTTTTTGACATTATGTAGGTTTTTCTACAACATGTTAACTTAGCACTAGCTGATGGACACGTTGTGAACTCGTTTTGTAGTTGTACGTGTTGCCTAAAAGTCATGAGGCTTCAGTTGTCAACGTTTGGTTCTGAAGTGATGTGAAATCTGCTTCAGAGATGTCATTACTGGAGGTAACGGCAATGCATAGATGCATAGTGAGGATTTGTGTGCAAATAATATGTGCTGATGGTAATTCCATTGGATTATTGTCTCAAATACACTTACTTGAGATTCAAAGCTAGAAAACTTTTTCTTATCCATTCGGGAAATTACATTTGCAAATTTGCTGAATTTCAAAAATGAGAGATAAGAAATAATTATATTGATTGGACACATTACAAGTCATATACATGTTAACAGTAATTACACACAACGAAGGTGCAGTGGTGATTGCTTGTAATTTTCCTCCAAAGTTTTTGATAATATAAAAAACGTAAAAAAATCGAAATTTATCACTTTGAACATAACCTATCTTCAGAAAGGACAGCATAAAATAACCCGGCGGGCACAGCCAATAGATATACTTCATCATTGGCAACGTATTCAGTAATGATTTTCTCATACAGCAAATATCACTGATTTTATACACATGCAGACCAATACCCACAAACATCCAGATGCGATCTTGTTATATTCGACCAACTTTCTTCTCAGGGATAAAAACTATAGGACTACTCGACTTCACAAGACATGTGCAACCAACATTGCGTGTAGTTGAGCTTTTCCTCCATAGATGGACGCTCACAACGATCCTAGTGAGCAAACGTGCACCCTAAAAACTACCTAGTCTGCAATATCAAATTTTATAGGTTTACGTGCGGTACCCAATTCTAAGATATTCAGGTTTAGACTAGTCCGTGTAATTTTTTCTCCGCAAGAAAATGACAAGCGTTGAATGTCGCAGGCTCTTGGGGTAGACTTCGGTCGAGATAGAATTAAATTTTGTTTATTACGAGAAACTCTCGCACCGATCCTCTGTAAGATTTCATTTGCATCGGCAGAATTGATTCCGAGTCGCACAGGACACAAATTGTATTTTTCGCTTCGCTAGCGCTTTTAGATTGGGCCTGTCTTTTTTTTACTTTCACGTGCCGAGGTTCTGCTTTCATCAAGAAATCTATTTGCTGTCTTATTCTTAGTTTCTATTTAGACAATAGTGTTGTATTATACCAGAAAAATATAATAAAAAGGTCTATACATACAAAAGGAAGGCGTCACATCACACTTCCTATGCAACACCGTCATCAATCCATAAAGGATTATATTCGGCACAGGTTAGCCCCTCTTAGAAAAAAATTAGTTACGAA